GCAGGCATGGCAGCCAGAACAGGAAGCTGAGCGCTCACATCCTCAACTGCGAGCATAAAGCAGAGAGAGTCAATGGGAAATGTTGCCAGTTTTTAAACTCTCAAAGCCTGCCACTAGTGACACATTTTATCCAACAGGGCCACACCTCCTAGACCTCACCAAACAGCACCATGAACTTAGGGACCAAGTGTGTAAATACATGAGCCTATAGGGGACATTTTCATTCAAACGCTTGCAATGGTCATCTTTTGGTTCTTTATGTCAACATCTCTGCTGCCTTTGAACTTCTGCGCATCCCTCCCGCTGGCTGGAGCACTCCCTTTCTTCTTCTCCCAACCCTTTGCCTTGATCATGTCTAGCTCCTTCTCTTTCTACTTTGAGAGCAGACAGCACCATTTGCTCCCACTCTGACCTTCGTAACGGTTCTCATGACATCACTTTTGGGGTGGTGGTGTTGCTGCTGTTGTTATTGTTATTACTGCTGCTGCTGCTGCTGTTCTGTCTAGTCTCAGCACTGGGTTATAAACTCGGTGAAGGATTGTCAGTCTTGCTCTCCATTATGTTCTCAACACCTCATACACGGAGAGCAGAGAAGTGGAAGGAATGAAGACATAAGCTATATACAAACCGCTTCAGTGTTCCAGAGGTTCCAGCAGAGCTGCCCAAAGAGCTTACTCAAACCACATGATTTTAGTTCAGCATTGTGTACACACTTGTCATCTTGGCATTCAGGAAGCCAATGCAGAAGAATCTTGAGTTCAAGGCCAGCCTGGGCTATGTAACCAGACTGTCTCTAATTAAACAAATAACTACAGAATCCCAAACTCCCTTTCCTAACTTCAGTCCCCAGAGTCAGATTCCAGTGTGTCAAGATTGGAAAGGGGCAGAGGTCCATGGGTTCACAACGTGCCCCACACAGCCCTCCAGATTCTGGCACAGTGTAACCATAATCACTGTGGGAAGCAGAGAAATCACAAAAAGGGAACGCTCTCCAGTGGCTTCGATCCATCAGCTGCTGTGAGGCCCACTTCTCTGGGTGCATTACTCCTACACCTTTTAACACTCCCATCTCTGCCACTGAGACTTCTTATCATCTATAGCTAGATCTGCCAGCCAATATCATGCAGACCCTGGGCCTCGCTTGTAGTTGACTGACTCCCTTTCTCATTAAAATGTTCTTAAGCTTCAATCTTCTTTTCCTGTATCACAGAGACTTTCAATAATTAAACATAATGAAATATTCTATTTGAAGAGGAACTGTAAGATGAATAAGATAGAAAGGTAAAGTTACTTTTAACAAGTAATTTAAAATTAAGTGTTCTTCTTTTTTTTTTCCCCATCAGTGCAAAATGTCATTCACACCATGAACTTGAAAGCTGGGTCCCCAGATGAAATGTTTGGGAAAAGCCTTTTCACATCCAACCTACAAAGTCTCTATCATCAACTGCTCATCTCATTTTCAATCCTCTTTACTCTTTCTGTTGCTATCTGACCAAAAAAAAAAAAAAAAAAAAAAGCAAGTTGGTGAGGAAAGGGTTTTATTTCAGCTTCCGCTTCCTTCAGTGTTGGACTGTGATCGTATGCTGTGCCTTCCAACATCAAATAGCAATGAAGAAAATGCCCCCAGGCCAACCTAATGAAAGCCATGCCCCAACCCAAGCTCCTTATTCCCAGGTGTGCCAAGTTGACAACCAGGGTTAGCCATCATGGTCTTATTAAACAAGAATGAAGGATGATGCCGTAGAGCTGGAGGTGAGGGGGACAAGTTCAAGTGTCTGAAGCACTTTGTATTCCTTTCTTTAAACTTGACGTTCCTCCAGGGTCTCTTGCTTTGGGGTAAACGTTCTGGGCAGTTCTAAGTGTGTCGTTGCCCCCAAGAGTTCAGCCTGAGCACTAATCGGTGACTAGAGTTATGTCCTCTCTAGACTTAGTTAGGATCGGCATGAATAGATACAGTTAAGGGAATCGAGAAAGTTAGGGTTTGAACAGAAATTATTTCTGGAGAAGCAGCAGACAGTAAAACGATTAACCGATCATTTGTAGAGCTTCAGGATTAAAACATACCAAATTATAATCACAAATAGGCTTGTCACAGGGGGAATCGAATGAAAAGTATCTTCTAAATCACACATTGGCCACGGCTGAGCTCATTTCTACTGAACAAAGTCCTTTTTTTTTGTATGAAATCAATCACCTGTTGATACCCAGAGAGACATGAAAGAAAAAGATAAAGAGCATTCAAAGAGATCAAAGCTAAAAAAAAAAAAATCGCAATTTAAGATTGTATGATCAAATCCCATTCATCTCCCCGTGGCTCCTGTTTTGTACTTTGAAAACTAGTAACTGTATCTATTTGCAAGATAAATTAGATTAGGCATGCTAATCAAAACAATAAGGACACCACAGCACGGCAGATGGCCATTGTCCACGAGACTGCTTCCTACCTGCCCTCTCTACCTCTCTGTCTGAGAAGAAGCTTTGCTTTTAATTCTGCTATTTTACATGTGCCTCTTGAGTCTGGATTAGGAAGCTCTTAGCAACTGCTCCTCTCCTAATGCCGCTGTTTAAAAGTCACTTGCACAGTCAGTGGTGGTGCACGCCTGTGATCTCAGCATTCAGGAGGTGGAGGCAGGAGCATCCGGAATTCAAGGGCTGCTTCAAGGTACTTAGGGAGTTAAGGGCCAGCCTGGGCTACAGGACACACACACAGAGGGGCGGGGAGAGTCTGTGTGTGTTACTTAGTCTTGTTTAAACTTTGGAGATGTATCCTCAGGGAAGCCCAGAGCCATGTTTAAAAGTTCTGAAATGTAACACTTAGCTTTCTTTTTTATTTCTTGGTTTGAAATTGCCCCTACCAATTTTCCCTTGTTCCTCTAAAAACTGTCTAAGTGACTCTTTTTTTCCTGGACAGATAGGTTTCCCCATAGGTAAACTGCCTGTGAAAGTGAATTAGTCTCACACTCTTCAAGAGTCTGACGCAGTAACCCCCCTTTCTTAGAATGAACAACCTCCAAAGGGTCCATTTTTAAAAATCAGTGCATACTTTCCAATAAAGGAGTTGCCAGGACTGGGATGTAGGTCAGTAAGTAGAGTGTTTGACTTGCCTAGCATGCATCGAGCCCTGGGTTTAATTCCCCAGGACCATATAAGCAAACTGGGGTGGCACATGCCTGTAATCGCAGGACAGGCAGAGACAGGAAGGTCAGAAGTTCAAGGTCATCCCCATCTACATAATAGGCTTGAGACAAGACTGCGTTTCATGACACCCTGTCTCAAAAAGGAAAGAGTTGCCCTAACAAAGGTTCTGGTTTTTCATTTTGTTTTTAGTGTGGCTAAGGTCTGAAAGAACTGTTTACTGGCCTGTGACGTTGAATTTCTCTTCAGAAGCCACACCTATAAAGACACCCACGCTGTCAGGCCGTTGCTGAGTAGAGCATCATGATTGTAAAAATTAAAATTTTTTTTTGTACACACAGTCAAAATTGTCTTGGGCTGTCTTTAAGAAAAATAGCCACTAGTTTTTCTGATTGAATACGCTTTATTAAGTGCTTCCTGCACTATGTAGATGATACTAAGTGTGGAGTCCATGGATAAATAACACCACTGTTACCTGGTGTAAACTCTTCTGTTTAACCCTTGCCTCCAGCCTAACATTCTAGTGATGATTATGTAACCCCTTGGACTGTATCGTTAAGGTTGGTAGGCCTCTAACCTTGACCAACCCTAAAGCTAAGGATGTCTGGTAGTAGCTAAAATCTGTCACTTTGCTGTTGCCTGCCCACCTAAAGCCCCCCCAAATGTACTTGCTGGATGTATTGATTTGTGGTATTCTTTGTTCTGTGGCTATGAAAGTTTGTAGGTGCATAAACCCCCTTTCATTTCAGAGAACGTCATCCCAGGTAACTTGAATACATGTTCCCAGAACATAGACACTTGGATTTGTCTCAGAATAAACCATTTGTTTCCATTAAAGCAGGGTCCTTGTTGAATATAGATAGGACTTATTGGTTTACACACACACAAACACACACACACATTTAAAAATAGGTTCCCTATATAAAAGAACACATGTGGTGTTTGTCTTTCTGAGTCCGACTTATTTCACTTAACGTAATGATTTCCAGTTCCATCCACTTTCCTACAAACATCATGCCATTTACCTTTATGGCTGCATAAGATCCCATTGTGTCTGCACCTCATACTCTTCCTTCATTCTTTGGTTGGTGGACATCTAGGTTGATTCCGTGTCCTGGCTATTGTGAATAGTGCAACAATAAATATGGAAGTGCATGTGTTCCTGACAAGGCTCACTTCTGAAACTAAGGAGTCAGGCTAAAGGTTTGAATGAAGAAAACTGTATAGTCTTGAGTCCAATGGTCTCTACCCCCTCCCGTCTTTCTGTCTCTCTGTCTCTCTCTGTCTCTCTGTCTCTCTGTCTCTGTCTCTCTCTCTCTCACACACACACACACACACACACACTATACACACACACCCCACTACCACCACCACCACCATCACCACCACCAACCACCACACCACTGTAGTTAGACACGAGAGCACACTGAGGCTGGTGCAGCATACTCCTAATTAATGATCAAAACTCATTGGAGCTGAGGTGCTGCTCTCCCAATAGACAGCTATTTTTAAAATATTTCTCTTTGAAAACAACAGCATGATTAATCCCATTATTCCTACTTAAATCACTTATGTAGAAACAGCCATGCACTGTGAGCAATTATTAAAAAGGCTTTATTATGTATAATTTGTACGTGCGTCAATTTGCGTTGCTTAGGGTAATTTATTTTCCAGGTTGTGATGTCATCTACCAAAATTAACTAGATCTAATTTTCATTCTGACATGCCACATACAAAAATACAGTTTTAAAGCAAAGTTCCTCTTCTTCCCGGGAAGGTTCACAAGAACGTGTCAGATGAATAAAATGAGAAAAGAATACTTTGCACACACACCAACACCATGCAAGGCATTATCCTCCACACAGTAACGTCAAATGTGTTCTTTTATTTTGAAACAGCAGGGAAAGAGCCCACTCACCCTCGGAGGGGAATGCAAACTTTATTGTTGCTAAAGCCAGGCTCCAGGGATAAAGGAGTGCTCCTTTGGGGAGAAGAGGGGATATGGGAACTTAAGGTGGAGGCTGTCGCCCCTTCATAAGCACTTCAAGAGGAAGGAATTGCAGGAAGTTCCTCGGGGACAGTCGCACAGCTTCCCGATCCGGGCGCCTTTCCGCACTGCGCACTGCTCTCCGGCATCACACTGTCAACAACACAACCCGTGGTTAGGGGCCCCAAAGGAGCGTTCTCTTGAGCAGAAAAGGACTAGACGACTACCACCACCTCCGGTCTAAGTACAGTCAGATCCGAAGCCCAGGGAGCCCAAAGCCCAGGGCTTACAGTTTCAAACTGAGAATATTCAAAGGAAGAGATTTAAGGGACCGCATTTTCAGCTTCCTTTTCTTGTTTATTTAAAGAGGATAGAATCACCCAGACCCTTGCATCTAAGATATATACAATATACTTTCCCATAACCTTTGTTTTCTACTTTCCCAGTTCCTCATCCAAAGAAGGAAAACGGAAGGCCTGTGTGTGTGTGTGTGTGTGTGTGTGTGTGTGTGTGTGTGTGTGATATTTTACCTAGAGCTGTTCCAACGAAGGTGACCATTCTGAAAACTTCTTATCATGGAATTTAAGAAACAAAACAACAATGATAAAGAAAAATCACGTCATGCTCTAGGAGGAATTCAGGGACAAACTGAGTAGATTCAAGGGTTCGTCCAACTAAGACGTTTCAGGAAATACTCCCACTCAGATCACAGGACTCTTTTCTGGCTCTAAAAGCCTGCTTTCCCTTACTCTTAGAAACCAGGGAGCAAAGGTCAGAGCAGAAGCAAAGTGGACGCCCCAGAGGAATGCATCACCTGAGCTGCTCCGCCACCTGCTAGAGCAAAGAGCATGTGGAAGATTCAAAGCAGTCTTTTCCCTTGGAAAAGTAAGGGAAGGGTGATCCGGAGCCTTACCATGGGGACCTGGCCGTACTTCTTCTCGTAGATCGGAATGCGTTTACTCTTGAGCTTCTTCAGGACTTCCTGCAGCGCTTCAATCTGCAACACAGCGCCGGGAGCCCGAAGTTGCCGCCTTGGCTGCGAGCCCAGCGCAGGTGCTCACTTTCAGCCCAGTTATAAGGAGCCCAAGACACACAACCGTAGAGCGGCGAGACTCAGAGGATGGACAAGTGATGGGGATAGATGGTGATGGAGAGGAAGCCCTGCGGGCGAAGTTCCTAGTCCTGACCTCACCTCCCAGAGCCTCCAAGGCGCACAGTGCCCAGGGCAGCTACAACCAGTGATTCGCTCGACATGCAACCCGCAGCCCGTGGACTCAAACATCTTTGTCTGGTAGAGAGTCCCAGGGCTTTTTTTTTTTTTTTTTAAATCGGGCTCCAGGGGCTTTGCCCTCTTGGTGGGACTAGGGTGGAGGAGGGACGCATTCAAAGCAAGAGCCCCGCAGCAGCCCAGGGGGGACCCGAAGCTAGGGGAATACTGACCAGCTCTTTCTCGTGGGACGCATCCTCCACGGCAGAGTAGATGTCCAGGGCTCGGGGCTGCAGCTCGGCATCCTCCTGGGCACGGGCACCCAGCAAAGGTAGCAGTAACAGCAGGGCGGCGCCCAGGAGGGGCAGCAGCCGCAGGCGGGAGCTCTCCATGGTGCTGGACCTGGTTGCTGGCTCGGGCACCGCGCTCTCCCGCTTCTTATAGCCGGCTGAACCGGGTGCCGGGAAGAGGGAGGGGGCGAGGAAGGACGGGGGTGTGGAGGAGGGCCCGGGTCAGCCGTCTGTAGGCAGCGCTCCGCTGCCGTTTGACGTCAATGCCCGCCGGGCTCCCGGAGCCCGGGAACGAGGCTCTGCGCACAGATGGGCTAGAGCGCAGAGAACAAGACCCCGTGCCCCCAAATGCTGTCAGCCCTGAGGCCAGGGACGCTCCCTGAGGGGCCAGAGCTGAAACTGAGGGGCAGAGGGTGAGGGGTAAGGAGCGGGAGGGCCCATGAAATGGAAAATGCCTTCGGGGCAATGAACAGGCACAAGAGTTGCTTCCCTTAGCGTCGCGGTGGGGGATGCACCACAGTCCCGCTGGCTTGCTCGCTGGCTCTGCCTTGCTTGCCTCTCTCATCCCCAAGCCCCGGGTGTGGCAGAAGGATGTGTTGCCTCCAGCAGGCTTGCTTGCTGAGCACAATTCTAGGCAAGCTAGGGGGTGAGGGAGATGTCAGCATACTAGACAAAGGGAGATTGTGTCCTCCGCACCAGGGGCTCCGGAAACTGAGTGATGCTGATAACCTGGAAAGGAGAGTAACCCAGCTCAGGAACCCAGCGAGAGTCAAAGAATCCGACTCGGGTCCAACACTTCCAAACTGGGTGCCTTAGAACGAAGTAGATCTCGCTGAGGAGCCTGATAGATGGCTCAGTGGTTACACACGTGCTGCTCTTTCAAGACCTGAGTTCAGTTCCCAGTACCCACCTCCGCAGGTACCTACACGTATACACATAATTAAAACTAAAATAGTAACATTCTTAAAGAAGCTCTCTGAACCTCTACCTTTGCTTTGTAAAACTGAAATTGGAAGACTGTACCTCATAGTCCCTGGAGGTACGGAAGGACAGCTCTTGTGTGCCAAGTTCCTTGTCCTCACCACAATAAACACGAAATCTTCAGGTTCCTTGCTTAGAACTGTGAACCCACCCGAGGACTGTGTGTGCCTTGCCTCAACTTTAACTCGAGGCAAATTTAACCTTCCAGAGAACTCCTCCTTCCCACTGTCTCTGGTACCCAAGAATTCCAGAAAATAAAGGTGTGGAAAAAATGCAGCTTCCTGCTTCTGGAAAGATTCTAAGAGATCAGAAGCCAATGGTGAGCCAGGTCCTCTGGCTTAGGAAGACACAGTAGTGCTTTTGGGAAGTTAAGGTCCTTACACCCTGAGTGCAAACAACGGCTCCTGTAGAAACGATGCTTTCCCACTTAGACCTAGAAGCAATCCCATCGGCGCGGTGACCTGGCTTCTTTCATCACACCCTCTTCCCCTCAACTGCCCCTGAATGTACCCATTCTCCCCCCCACCCATCACCACATCACAATCCTGGTCAACTGCCCCAGCCTGCCTACAGTCTGTTTCTTTATTGCCACCCCCTTCTCTTGCCTTCCTCTAGCCACAGTTCACCGCCAGCCATAGTGTTGTGTCCTAAAATACACTAATGGCTTCTCAGTGGGAATCTGCATTCCTCCCCACACACTTTACAAACTATTGCATTATCTGCACCTCACCCCCTGCCAGAAATCCTGCCACTCCACTCTTGCTGGCCTTCTCCTTGATCCTCTAATAAGCCAATCTTTCTCCTACTTTGACATCTTTGCATTTCCCTTACCTGGAAACGTCTTCCTCTATCTTTAAATGGCTCTCTGTTACTTGTGACATAAATCTCAATTTGTAAATTTCCATGGCTACTCAGTCTCAGGCATTCTTCAATTTATTCTCCTACAACCCTATTGATTAACACATGATATGGATCGCTGAAATAGTTAACACAGAATATGCATCTGTTTTCTTCAATTATTAAGAGTTTAATTATCACTCAATATTGTGCATTTGGGTGAAATTCAAGAAGTAATATCTCTTCTGATAAATAGCATGCATATTATATTTATTATATTTTCTTTGGGGTAATTCTACCTGAAAGTATGTCGAACATATATCTGCTTTTTACATATGCTTTTTAATTCTGCATGAAATTTCAACAGCAGCTCATTTCACCATTTAAACCTTAAACAGGTGCAATGGCGCTCACTGAAAAATGTCTCCAGTGATCTTAGACGAGGTTTACATTTCAGAAGAAAAATAACTTCAAGTAACAGCTTAGCTCGTCCTTCCACAATGATGTGAACTTCCCCAGTGCAACGCTATCTCTCAAATTTTGTCCCCAAGTACAAGTAATAACTTTCCTATTTGTGTCTTTTATATTAGGAAAGCAACTCAAGAATTCAAGTCCTGCCAGGCGGTGGTGTCGCACGCCTTTAATCCCAGCACTCGGGAGGCAGAGCCAGGCGGATCTCTGTGAGTTCGAGGCCAGCCTGGTCTATAGAGCGAGATCCAGGAAAGGCTCCAAAGCTACACAGAGAAACCATGTCTCAAAAAAAAAAAATTTCAAGTCCTAATGATACTCGGTTGATGTCATCATCTTCATGTAAGCAAAACACCACATGTAGTTGAACAGTTAGAGGAAGGAATCTTGAGCCATGCTGTGAAGCACGTCAGGCCTATCAGGGTCATTTCCAAATCATGGTGCCTTTTACTTCTTGAGAAGAATGACCTTCTAGAGCAATGGTGCTCAACCTTCCTAATGCTGTGACCCCTTAATACCATTGTGGTGATTCCTCAACCCCAAAATTATTTTCATTGCTACTTTGTAACACTAATGTGCCACTGTTTGAGTTGTAATGTAAGTATCTGATATGTGACACCTGTGAAAGGGTCATTTGACCCCTAGAGGGGTTGCGATCCGTAGGTTGAGAACCACTGTTCTAGAGTAGCTTGAAGAAGTACTGTATAGTGAAGCTTGGGCAATGTTCTTCCCAAAAATATTTGTGTTGGTTTGACTAGAGAAGGAACAAAGAATGAGATGTTCTGTAGCCTTTATATCAAGGCATCAAGACAGTTTATGTGTGATTATTTTGTAATGACTCCATTAAAGGAGTGAGGCCCACTTTTGATATCCAAAAGCTGTATATTCTGGTAATAACTGGGGCTGATTTAGTGGCTCAACAGGTAAAGGCACTTGCCGAGGAAGCCTGGTGACCCGATTCAATCCCTGAAAGCTACACAAAGATGGAGGAAGAGAAATGATTCTACAACATTGTCCTCTGACCTCTGCATATACATTATGACACATGTGCCCACATGTACATCATGCATGTGAAGACACACAATACTAACAAATAAATAATTTTTTTAACTATTGCATGGGTAAGTATTGGAATGAGTTTATCAGATTTGTTAAACACATTAAACACATCTTTAGGCTGGACAGTGGCGGTGGCACACACCTTTAATCCCAGCACTCAGAAGGCAGGGGCAAGGCAGATCTCTATGAGCTCAAGTCCAGCCTGGTCTGCAGAGCAGTACAGCCAAGGGCTGTGCAGAGAAACTCTGTCTCAAAAAACCAAAATAATAAAAAAAAGAAAAAAATTATATTTAAAAGAGGTAATTAGATCATGCAATGTCCTGCTTAAAACCCTTGAAGCAATTTCACTTTCTTAGAATAAAATACAATTTTCGTATCCCGGTTCCTAATGCATTTATGATCTGGCCCCTGACTTCTTCTCCAGCACCAGCACTCAACACTCTATTGCTTCCTTACTGTATTCAGGCCACACCGACTTCCTCTGTATTCCTATAATAAGCCAATTCCTTTCTCAGCCCAAAGTAATCCAAAGAGGAAAAAGATAGTGTCTAAATTGTACTGGAGCAAACTAAGATGTGTATAAAATAAATTAACCTCATTTATTCCTCACATCATACATAAAAACTAACTTGAAATAGACTGCAGACCTAAATTTAAGAACTAAAACTATAACACTCCTAGAAAAAAGCACTTCTAGAAGAAAATATTTCTAGAAGGAAATCTTTGTGGAGCGAGGTAAGAAAAAGATTTCTTTCATTTTTAATTAAAATATATTTACATCATTTTCCCCATTCCTCCCCCAACCCCTCCCATATACACCCCGCTTTGGCTCCCTTTTGAAGTAATATCCTCTATTTCTTGAGTTGTTATAGTTACAGATGCCTAAATATATAAATACAAGCTGCTCAGTCCATATAGTGTTACTTGTAGTTACATGATTTTAGGACTTACCACTTAATATTGGATAATCAATTTTAGAGGGCTCATCCTTGGGGAGGACTATTTTTCCCTCTCTCTCATCTTTGGTTGCCTGTAGTTCTTTGACGATTAAATAATGTTAAAGTGATCATTGGCATTAATCACTATTTCTCATCCCAAATACAGAAAAAGAAAGCAGGTCGCCTCACAAAAGAAAAGCAATAAACGGCATATGTCTATAGAGGTGTACAGGGCCGGTCTCTCTTATCCTGAGATAGAGTAAGCCTGGAGGTCTGCTCATTGAAGCTTCAAGTTCAGAAATCTCATCAGCAGAGAGCAGAGAAGCAAGCACCAGAGAGAGCTACTTAGGACACGCTGCGTTCTGAGAAGAAAATGTCAAACTTGAGACCCTTCTTATTCATCTCTGTCTCTTAGAGTTGTTAACCTTTTTTTTTTCAATAATAATAATGAAAAACATTGATTATCTGTGATGTGACTTGGCAAGAAAACAGATTGCCTGGGTTTTGTTTTGCTTTGTTTTAAGTGAAAACGTATAGACTAACTATGTTACTAAATGAGAGCCCCACAGTCCCCAGAGGTTGAATGATAAAATGAGGTCATGGTAGAAAAAAACACCAAAATGATGGCTTCCCTCACCACCAAGCTCCTGTAGTTCTCTCAAAGTTTGAGTGTTTTCTCTTCCCATACAGATCAGGATAGGTTGTCATACTGTTTAAGTGTCAGACCATCTCATTATTCATTAACCCTCTCTCCACTCATTCTTCCAACGGTTCAACAGCAAAACTTGATCGTGCTAACTTCTTAAATGCTTGTTTTTGAGACTTTGTCTTCCCTTGAATTAGCTTAACTCCCTCCAAGTTAAGCATCACTTTGCTCTCCCTGGAAGACTTGTGTAAGCTGGAAGGTGGCACCCACTTCTATTTCTGTACTGTCTACCCCGCACTTCCCCTGCACCCATCACAGATTCACGGTCGTTGACACGCATCTTCTGTTTACCAACCGTCAATTCACAGCTTCCCAAAGGAACTGTTATTTTCTATGTTCTGTCCAAACATCTGTATCACTACCTGGAAGAAAATAATCCACAAGCGAGGAAGACAAACCTAGAATTGTTTAGTAGCCTGGGACTCCACTTGGTTTGGGCTCTTGGTTTGGACACACACCCCTTATCTAATGTTCTATGTGCACAAATCCCAATCCGAACAGTGCATCTAACAACCTGCTAAACCACCTAATACCCCCAGCTGCATGGAGCTGCATTAACTCCCCGCTCTGAACAATGGAATAAGTTTTTCCTCTCCTTATCTTAGATCATCAAACTTGGATCCAGTGAATAGGAGTCAGGAGCGTAGGTGAGCCACAGAACTCCACTCGTCAAATGCTAACACTAAAAGCAAGTGATTTCACCTAAGATGTTTAGCCTAAGGAAAGTAGCCCCTGATGGATACAAGGAAGGGACATCAGCCAGTTCTGCACTGAATTTGAGAAACAGATTATGTCATCCTGCTCAAAAAATAGAACTTTTAAAAAGAAGATTCAAATCTCAGTGACTTGGGGAAAATGCAAAGACATTTTCACTTGTATAACTGACATGTGTCCCAAGAGTTCATTGTTCCCTTCATCATGGTCATGCAAGGACAGCAATGCACCATCTCTAAAAATTGCTGGGTTTGCTGGGGGGGTGGGTCTCAGGGAAATGCTGGGCAGTCTTAGATGGGCTAGAATGGGCTCAGAAGTGATTCTTCACTTCAAAAAAAGTATTTATCTACCTACTTATCTGTGTGTGTATATATATATATGTATATATATGTACCTATCTATCTGTCATCTACCTATCTATCGTGTGTGTGTGTGTGTGTGTGTGTGTGTGTGTGTGTGTGTGTGTATGTATGTATGTGTGATGTCCCACAGTGAGCAATTGGGGATCAGAGGACAACTAGTAAGAATTCCTTCCGCCACGTGGGCCCTCAAATTTGGTGGTAAAGCAGTGGCGTCTTCACCTACTGGGCCACCTCACTGGCCCTGGTTCTTCAATTTTGCCTGCTATTCATGAACCCAAACTAGTCAGGTGACCTCACTCAAGTAAAGGGGGCTTAGAAATTCAGTGTTGGCATGTGTCCAGAGTGCAATTATTGTAACAGAAATATAACCACCATGTGTCTCTGCCTTACTGTACATCCCTCCATGTGTCTCACACGTACCTGCTATACTTTGCACACTTAAAAAAAATAAACATATGACAAGACACATCTTTCCTAAATTCTCCTGTATCTACTGCTCCCTCATGCTACTGGGTCTGCCTTGCCTATAACAGAGATGTCTGAATAGACACTCAGTAACACCTCTCACGCACTACATCCTGCAATTGTCGGTCTAACTCACTCCCTGGACAGGGAGCTCCTTGAAGGCAGAGAAGGCATCTGGCTGCCTCTGTATTCCCAGTATTGGTGATAGCGCCCGTACACAGGTGTGTCATGGGAAGTCAGCTGCTATGAGGTGGGAGACAGCCTACAGACAGCATGAGATGACAACTTCAGTGAGGTAGCAGGCTATCACCGATAAGATTCACAGGCAGCTCGGAAGCACGGCCACGTTACCATTTAGAAACAGCATTATTGACCTTCTATTGGGAAAAATGTGCGGCAGAAGGGCTAAAATTGTTTGACAGCTAGCCAGCTTCCACAGCAAAGTGTCAGGAGCACAGATGATGATGATGGCTTCGCTTAGTGGTTCCTGTGATAACTAAATGCATTTCAGTTTTAAGATCGACATATTTTCCCAAGGGCACAAATTGTCGTCCCTGAGAACTAAGAACTCCAGCCCTGTTTCAAGCTTCTATTCCATTGCTTTTCCTTCACATTCTTTTGTTTGTGGGGTAGGGGGCTTCACAGATGCCAGGCCTGCCCCAGCTCCTCTCACATTCTCCGTGGTACAGTATGGGAAGAAAGCCAGCACAAGAGCATCCTTGACAGCAACCCCCAGATTATTCTGATGGCCCCGACAGAAGCCATTCCTGTGCTGGGCAGAGGTCAGGCTGCCGAGGCATCTGAGGCCAGTGTTAAAACCACAGCTCTGGGGCTCTCCTGTGCTTCCTTCAGAACTCATCTAAATGAAGTCTATTTCTTTTGACATAAACTATAGCCTCAAGAGAAACCGAATACCATCTGGCATGATGCAAAGATCACCCAGGGCCTACGGGCAAAAGTATATTTCATAGGAAAAGAGATTACCAACTAGTCTTTCCTTCATTTTTTTAGAGGATCTGGCCTTGACGTATGTCTGCTGTGCCTCGGCAGGTTAGTGTGGTTCAGGTTTAAGCAATGGATTCATCGTGTTGGTTTGGCTTACCTGATTAAGAAGTCCTGACTTCTGCTCTGCATGTAAATGTGCTGGCTTTCCTGTCTCTGTACTTCTCATCACTAGCCTCTCCAAAACCAGGCTGGCAAGACCTCTGGGATGGATGCACCAGGGGCAGTTCCTTTGGCCCCTCCCACTTTTTCAGGAAGCCCCTGGGGTCTGTGTTTATACCTTAGTAAGATGGGATTAGAGTGTACTCTGAAAAGATGGAAGCCTGGATAAATGCCTGAGGTCCTTAACCTTTTTCTCCTACTAATCTATTGCTGTGAGACAGTTGGAAAGCCCCATTTAACTTTATGAACGGGATTATTCTCTCTATATAGAAGAAGCTTAAAGGGTTTAGGGGAAGCAATTCAGCCAATCAGAAGGTGTACCAGGGGACGTGTCTTGAAGATGCCACTGACATGAGAATGCACTGTTTTCATTTCACTTCAGGGAGGAGACAGTGAAGATTATCGGGATAGTAAAACCTCAGTTTCTCTATTGCCTCAGCCCCTCTTAATTTTTGACCCTTCTCTAGGAAAGCTAGCTCTTCAGTCATATGGTCTTAGGCTCTGGGACCTCTGCATCTATCCAAATGAAATGCAAGCTGGTCCTTCTCTTTGTACATCATGGGTAGTCTGTGACGATCATGCCTCTGACCCAGTGCATGAGTACATGGTCCATCACGCTTGGTGCCTGATGGCTTCCCTGGAACTCCTCTGGACTAGCTTTGGCCAACAAAATACAAGCGGACATATTGTAATGTCCATTGTATCAGTAAATTGTCATGTGCTGTTTGAGCTCGCTAAGAAGCTGGGTTATCTCTCCCCACGCCCTGCCCCCCACCATTTCATACCAAGCATGTTTGTCTCAAAGTATCCTCTAAGACCCCTTGTCCAGGGATGGGCTGCCCGCTCCCAACAGTTCGACATATGACGGAAGAGAGCAGCAAAACAGCCAGAGAGCAACAACACCGTGTCCTTGAGAGCAGCTAGGAAGCAAACCATTTCCAACAGAGGCTACTATTGTTTATGCCATGATGCACTGGGAACCAGAAGCTGAGGTCCAGCCATGGGATGCCTGTCCATGGAGAGACAGCTCAGTTGGAAACTCCAGCCAACTGCCTCAACTTCCCCAACTGATTTCTACTGTATGTTTGGAACCTCCTGATTTGATGGTGTTACCTTTGTTTGCTTTCAATCAGTCTACTCTGATCATGTCTATTGCCTGCTGTGAGTGCCTGATTTGATAATGCTTTGCTCTCTATCTGTTGTTCTTATTTATTTACTATTTATTCTTTGTACTTTTGCTTGTTATACACTTGTTCAAAACCCAAAGTACAGCTGAGGATGTACATCGTTCACCAGATGGTTCAGGATACATGTGCAGTGCCCTTCCATGGAAATGCTTTCCAAGAATTTATTGCGCTGGCCTTTCCCTTATTCTTTCCAGGATTATCTGCAATGTTCCAGGTGTGGGCAGCTTGTCAGTCCGAGTTCTGGAGTCTGACAGAGGGAAAATACTAAGCTACAAGCAGCTGTCAATGGACATGTACTATAAATAAGGAATAAACTTTTGGGGATATGAGCCAGTGAGATGTGGTGGTCATTTACGGCTGCAGAATAATTGAACGTGACCAACACAGGGAGACATGTATCCATTAACCCATCTCATAGATAAGATGGTCTGTTGCTGTATGACAAGTTACTTCACAAACTTAATGACTTATACAACACACATTGAGTGTCTTACACCTCTACGGATCTGAAATCCTGTCATGGCTTGCTGAATCTCCTTCTGTAAACTCTGTCACGAGGCCACTGTCACAGTACCAGCCTAGGGACACAGACTGTGATGGCAAAACGTTGACTGGCTCTGCAGCTACGTCATGGCTCTGCTGGAGCAGGATCCACTCCTTGTTAACAGACGCTGGTGACCTGAGTCCCAGTCACCTGGGGACTCCTGACCCAAGGCTGTTCTCAAGTCTACGCGAGGTGGCTTTCTCCACTGGAGAAAACGTGTAAGGAGAGATTGGAATGAATGCCAGCAAGGCAGAGGTCATAGACTTCTAAACTAATCACAGAAGTTACATCTCATCATTTCCCCCATGTTCTAGCCACTGGGTCCATCCTACACTCGGGTCAAGAGTGTGAGTACTAGGGCCCAGGTGTCCTGTGGACCCACATAGGAAACTACCTACCACAATCACTGTCTCAACAAAACTGCAATAAGCCAGGTGGTGGTTGTGTATGCCTTTAATCCCAGCACTTGAGAGGCAGAGGCAGACAGATCTCTGTGAGTTCAAGTCCAGCCTGGTCTACAGAGCTAGTTTCAGGACAGCTAAGGCTATTGTTACACAAAGAAACCCTGTCTTTGGAAAACCAAAATCCAACCAAACAAACTACAATAAGTCAACAAGAATCATGTAAGAGACTAAACCTCAGTGGCAAGAGAGTGAAACATGGGATTTTTGTAAATGAAGATATGAAGCCCAGGAATGTTAAACACCTTGCCTGGGGTGCATTGTTAGAAATAAACCCCAGAGAACTGCTATTTCCACTAGACAGATAAGTGAAAAATTAAAGAGCAATACAAGACGAATTGCACTCATCTGCAGCAGAAGTGAGAGCATCTATCATTAATTGAATTAAATAAATCATCTAGACAGTGAGTGAATTAAAAGTGCAGAGGCAAGCTCTTCAAGCTGGCTCAATCAGAAAGGTAAGTCATTTTGTAAAAAGTAAATGGTGTTATAGGCTTTGACGAGTGGAATTCTTCTGAGCAGAGAAGAGAGGTGTCATCACCAAAAAGACAGGCCAAGATGAGATTTCTCTCTTCAGTGTTGCCCCGATGTCAAAAAGCAATGCAGAGGCCACACTCATCTCCAATCTAGACCTATCAGAAGACATCATCCAGGACTATGGTTCCCCAGTACACTGTGCATTAAGTATGAGGCCAGGCAAAACCCCCTTTATATTCACCCTCAGAAACTGGCTCCTAGCTTGAAATAGAAACATTAAAATCCACTGGAAATTTTGTGGGACAGACTACAATGTGCTTATGCTCCACTCTCCAAATCTGAGTGAGGCTCTGGCATCTCTGAGGAGGAGAGGAGTCCACTTGTACAGTTTGAAAAGCTGCCCCCAAGTGATTCTGCTAGAAGCTGACCGCTGTAACACCCTGGTTGAGTACCACCGCTCAAGGAGATGGTCTGGTCATCTCATGAGGGGTATCCAGTAAAGAGCCAGGCCACACACGTTGACCTTCAAAGGTCTCCAAAGCCAATCTTCTCTGGGATTCCAATACGCTTCCCTTGCAAAATACAAATAGTTCCACAGCTGAGCCAGCGTAAATAGAGAGTCAAGTCACCCTTAGCTTGCCAGAAGCTTCCACTGTCCCCACATTTACGTGAGTGGTCATGAATAAGCCCTGATGGTTTTCCCGAAAGTGCCTGTCATGCAGTGAAGCCACGCCCCCGAATCATAAGTCAGCAAATCCTGATGAATGGCTTACTCCTACCTACCTTGAGGTACTAATTCTGCAGATGGTAAAAACAGATCATTGGAGCAACGAGGTCCAGGTCTGGAGCAAACCTGAAAATGGTTAGGTCTAGCTTGTCTGAAAACCAAGTTATTGTTGCTTTCTGATTGTGTTGAGGGAGGGTTGCTGCGTGTATGGGTATATGTATGTGTATGTGTTTAAGTTCTCCTGCGTGTGTGTGTGTGTGTGTGTGTGTGTGTGTGTGTGTGTGTGTGTGTGTGTGTATGCTTCTGTATGTGGAGGTCAGAGTTCAATCTTGACTGTTGATCCTCAGGAGTCTCTTACTAGGATCTGGGGCTCTACACTGGCTAAGCTAGTTGGCCAGTGAGCCCTAGGATCTTCCTGCTTTCACCTACCCAGCACTGGGA